TTCACCTTATTGGCAGTGTCCTTTTCTACACAAAAGTTTTTAATTTTGATGAAGTCCAATTTATCTATTTTTCTTTTGTTGCCTGTGCTTTTTTGCTATCATATTCAAGAAATCATTGTCAAATCCAGTGTTGTAAAGATTTTCCCTTATATTTTCTTCTAGGAGTTTTATAGTTTTAGCTGTTAAGTTAGGTCTTTGATCTACTTTGAATTAATTTTTGTATATGGTGAAAGGGAAGGTTCCAACTTCATTCTCTCATGTGGACATTCAGTTGTGCTAAAATCATTTGTTGAAAAGACTATCCTTTCTCCATTGAATGGTCTTGTAAAAAATTGTTTGGCCATATGTGCTAGAGTTTCTTTCTAGACTGTCCTTTCTGTTACATTGGTCTATATATCTGTCCTTATGCCAGTACCAGATTGTTTTGATTATTGTAGCTTTGTAGTAAGTTTTGAAATAAGACAATGTGAGTCCTTCAACTTTGTTCTTTTTCAAAATTGGCGTTTTCAATTTTGGCTATCCAGGGTCCCTTCAGATTCCATATGAATTTTAGGATGAGTTTTTCTATTTCTGTGAAACATGCTGTTGGGGATTTTGATAGGGATTGCATTAAATCTGTGGATTGCTTTCGGTAGTATTGTTACCTTAACAATGTTAAGTCTTCCAATCCATGAATGTAGAATGTATTTCAATTTATTTATGTTTTCTTTAATTTCTTTCAGCAGCGATTTGTAGTTTTTATTGTACAAGTCTTTCACCTCCTTAATTCCTAAATATTTTATTTGTTTTTGGTGCTATCATAAGTGGAATTATTTTCTTAATTTTCTTTTTGAATTGTTCATTGCTAGTTTATGGATATCCAGCCGATTTTTATGTGTTGATTTTTGTGTTCTGCAACTTTGCTGAATTTGTTTATTCTCACAGTTTTTTTGGTGTGTGTATAATCTTTAGCTATTTCTACATATGTGATCATGTCATCTGTGAACAGATAATTATTTCACTTCTTTCTTTCTAATTTGGATGATCTTATTTCTTTTTCTTGCCTAATTGCTCTGTCTAAAACTTCCAGTACTGTATTGAATAGAAGTGACAAAAGTGGGTGTCCTTATTCTGTTCCTAATTTTAGGGGAAAAGCTCTTAGTCTTTCATCATTGAGTATCTTGTTAGCTGTTGGTTTTTACTGTATGGCCTTTATCATGTTTAAGGAAATTTCTTTCTATTCCTAGTTTGAATGTTTTTATCATAAAAGGGTGTTGAATTTTGTCACATGTTTTTTCTGCATCAATTGAGATAATCATGTGGGGTTTTTCCATCTTCCTGTTAATGTGTATTACATTGATTTTTTTGTTGTTGACGAACCATTTTGTGCTCCTGGAGTAAGTCCCACTGTCACTATGTATAATCCTTTTAATATGCTGCTGAATTTGGTTTGCTGTCTTTTGTTGAGGATTTTTTCGTCAGTATTCCTAAGGGATATTGGTCTATAGTTTTGTTATAGTGCCTTTGTCTGGCTTTGGTATCAGGGTAATGCTAGCTAGCTTCATAGAACAAGTTAGGTAAGTTCCCTTCTCTTTTATTTTTGAAAGTCTTGACGAGGATTGTTGGTAATTCTTCTTTAAATGTTTGGTAGAATTCGCCAGTGAAGCCATCCTGGTCCTGGGCTTTTCTTTGGAGGTTTTTCATTACTGATCTAATCTCTGTACTAGTTGTAGTTCTAGGATTTTCTATTTCTTGATGAGTCAGTTTTAGTACATTGTATTTTTGTAGGACTTTATCCTTTTTGTCCAGGTTATCCAATTTATTGGCATATAATTTTTCATAGTATTGTCTTACGCTCTTTATTTTTATAAAATCAGTAGTAATGTCACTATTTTTATTTCTGACTTGAGTAATTTGAATCCTCTCACTTTTTTTTTTTTGTTGTTGTTGTTCATCAGTCTAGTTAAAGTTTTGTTAATTTTGTTGACCTTTTCAAAGAATCACTGTCTGGTTTTGTTGATTTTTCTCTGTTGTTTTTCTTCTTTGTTTATCTTTGCTCTAATCTTTATTATTTCCTTCCTTCTGCTAGCTTCCTTCTGCTAGTTTGTCCTTCTTTTTTTAGTTCTTTGGTGTATACAGTTAGGTTATTGATTTGAGAACTTTCATTTTTATTATTTTTTTTCTTGTACTCGGGAAAGCTCAAGTAGAGAACTTTCTTATTTTTTAAAGTAAGTGTTTATAGCTATAAATTTTCCTCTTCCTGCTGCTTTTGTTGCATCGCATAAGTTTTTGTATTTTCATTTATCTTAAGATATTTTCTAATTTCCTTTGTGATTTTCTTTGATCTATTGGTTATTTAATATTGTGTTGTTTAATTTTTCACATATTTGTGAATTTTCTGGGTTTCCATGTGCATTTGATTTTACATTTCATTCTGTTACAACCAGAAAAGATACTTTGTATAATTTTGGTTTCTTTAAAGGCATTAAGACTTTTTTTGTGGCCTCACATATGGTTGTTTTTAGAGAATGTTCTATGTACACTTGAGAAGAATGTGTACTCTGCTGGTTTTGGGTGAGTTTAGTTAGCTTTTGACATGTTACATTTGAGAATACATGTAGGTGGAGATGTGAGATTTTCATTTAGTGGAAAAGCCAAGGGAAGAAATTTGTTAGTGAGCTGTAAAGGGGGGGTCAAAATCATAAGAATAGGCAATTTTTTTGAGAAACAGGATTTAGAGCAACAAAACAGCCTTGAGTGTATCTTTATTTAGAAGGCTGAAAGTTGAATAAAGCCTGGAGTGTTAGAAAAGGGTGGACCAGTTTGACATAGACCATAGCCAAGATGGTGTAATATTTAGACTTTAAAGATAATATCAAAAAGAGGATATGATTAACTGAATTCAAAGTTGAGAGGTCAGCAATCTTGTTTGGGAAGGACTGCTTCTTATATTCCTTTAATAATTCACTAAGGCAAGTGGAGGACAGATTCTGATTTTTTGGATTTGAGAAACATTTAAATGGTGTTAATGTACTTAAATTATGAAATTGAAAACCACAAGTATACATTACTTATTCTTTATAGTATGAGTTTTAGAGGCTGTTAATTTGCTATTATATTAGATAAATCTGAAATAGAAGAAACTTCATATATTATCCAATTGCTATATTTGAATTCTCTAGAAGTTGTTTCTGGACAGTCTGCGAAAAGCACTTGCTGGCCATGGAGGAAGTAGGCAGCTGACAGAAAGTGCTGCAATTGCCTGTGTCAAACTGTGTAAAGCAAGTACTTACATCAATTGGGAAGATAACTCTGTCATTTTCCTACTAGTTCAGTCCATGGTGGTTGATCTTAAGGTAATATGCTTATTATTTCTCTACTATAAACTTTAAAAAAATTAAAAGAAAAGTAATGTTCTAGTATATTATGTCAAAGATCATTGCTAATACTAAGTTCTGAGTCTTCTTTGATAGATAGTAAGTTCATAGGACCTGCTTTTGTTATTACTATGTTCATCAGCCTAAATGGACTGAGAATATGTAGAAAACACAGAATTAGCCACTTTTCTTAAATTAGCATAAATATACAGAGGGTTTAAAATAATATGGAAATTAGGGCCTGAAAGGAATCATGTGTAGTATAGGAAGAATTATGTGAGACTGATGAACTACAATATTAGTGCTTTGTGCCTTTTCTGGCAACTGTTACTGCCATCTAAGTAGGTAATTTGTTGATGTTACTACATATTAGTAAAGAAATGCTACATGGCTAATTAAAGCTTTCATTTTCTATTGGGATTTTATAGAACCTACTTTTTAATCCAAGTAAACCATTCTCAAGAGGTAGTCAGCCTGCAGATGTGGATCTAATGATTGACTGCCTTGTTTCTTGCTTTCGTATAAGCCCTCACAACAACCAACATTTTAAGGTGAGAACATTGATTTTTATCCCACTATGTTTACTGATGATGTTATCCTTTATAAATGTGAAAAGACAAGAGAGATGAATAGGTTCACTTTTATCAGTATTTCTCAATATTATATATTGATGTTAATTTTAAGACCTTAAAAATCCTGTATTTTAAAAACTTTGCTGTTCTTTTTGTCTTTGTGTTAAATGAATATTTTTCTCATAGAAATAATCTAGTTTTTTTCTTGCTCTATAGATCTGCCTGGCTCAGAATTCACCTTCTACATTTCACTATGTGCTGGTAAATTCACTCCATCGAATCATCACCAATGTAAGTCCAAAAGGTATTGCTAAATTACTAAAAATTTTTTTTTTCTTTCTTTGTGTATTTTTTTTTCTTTTTAAGAAAGATGCTCAATTTAAAAAGGTTCTGAACTTAGATGTATGTTATAGGAAGATTTCTCCTAGGTGGTTATATCTAGTAACTGATACACATTTGTATTTTTCATATTCAATCTTGACTTGAGGGACCTTACTGAGGAAGATGGAGTTAAATAAGATCCTTTAGAAAGACTAAGCCTAAAATATTTTATTTAGATCAGACACCTTTGAGAATAATGCCACTGAAAATAGAATTTAATATTTTCACCTTAAAGCTCTTCATATATTATTTGAATACTGTTAGTCCTTTCACAACATTTGCTACATTAACTTGTCACCGTGCCATGTAAGTTAAAAGTAATAGTAGTTATGTTGTAGTCCAGCCTGGCACATTTACAGAGTGATGAAACCATATTGGTACTTTTTAGTCCTCTTAAAACAAAATGAAATATTAACACACTTAAAAAGAGGTATTCACAAGATACAAAAGCTTATCAGACAGAATAAGTTAACTCATTAAAAGGTACTTGCAAAACCTTCAACTCTGATGTGGATACCTTAATGGAGAGATAGCAAAACCTTACCAGATTTGGACTGTGGGTTTTTAAAATTCTGTTCTTCTAATTATGAACAATCATGTTTTGAAGGTTCTCAGGTGTTATTTTCTGTAGTTCCATGTTTATTCATTGATAGATATTTACAATTATATGTAAATTGGATAACGTTTTCCTGTTTTCCTCCCATAAAAGGAGTGTTAATCATTGATAACTTAGTATATTGTTCTGTTTTTAATCAAATTCTATTTAAGACCATCTCTGATGAGTTGCAAATAACCCCCCCACCCTCATTTGCCTTGGATGTATTGAAATAAAAAAATGCTGCCCATATTTTCTTTTATCCTTTTCTGCAGGTGAACAATAACTATTGATAAAGCTATTCAGTGAAACATTTAGTTTTTCTCAACAGGGTGTTAGTAGCATTTTTGAGGACAGTTCTTTGTTGTGCAGGACTGCCTTATATTAATACATTGCAGGATATTTAGCATCTCTGGACATGATTTTATTAAATGCCAGTTTTGCCACATCCCTCCACCACCAATCACTATGAACAGCTAAAAATCTACCTATCAGGTACAATGTGCACTATTTGGGTGACAGATACACTGAAAGCCCTGATTTCAGCATTATACAATTCATTCATGTAACAAAAAAAAAAAACCAACAAACTTGTACTCTGTAAATCAATCGAAATTATAAATAAATAAATAAATAAAATGCCTGAAAGAATGATGCCTCCCTCAGTTGAGTATCACTGAGTTAAAATATAGATAGAAGTAACATTTAATTCTCCTTGTTCCCAAAGGGAAAGTTTAATGAATCTGATTGTAGATAAGATATGTTTGTATTAAAAATTTTTTTAAAAATTACTGTACTTTTGCCAACATAATAAGCCAGGACATTGTACTTTCAAGGTTTACTTTCAAGGCCATCTTAAAAAAAATGATTTTTTTTCTCCCTCAGGTTTATGTGTAATTCTGAAATAAGATATTATTACTTGTTTTGCCTTTGGCTTATAATAGTAAAAATATTCCATTTATTAGATTGGGTAGTTTTTCATAAATGCTTAAAATTTGTATTTAATAAACCAAAGTGTATACTTTTTGATAGTTTGTGGCTAGTTACTTTAATTGTGAAATATTTTTGTCTACAATTGAATATATAGAGCACTTTCAAGCATGGACTTGGCACTGCTGTAAGTGGCTGAGCTGCTCCTTTCTGGGTTTCAAGCATGCCTGGAGTTGGTACTTCATGCATGCCTCAGTGTACCTGGTGCAAGTGGTTGTGCATCCTCCTCTTCTCCAATGAGTACTGCATGTGCGAAGGGTGGAGTGTGTCTGTTTCAGAGGTCAAGTCAATATGACAATTGGTTTTTATAAAGAAAAATCTATATTGACTGATTTTTAAATAGTAAGCATCAGTAACCTTTCAGTGAAATAGCTTGAAAAGAAACCTAAATATTAGTTCAAAGCGTCTTTTAAAGTTATGCCTTAGATAATGTACTTTGTCATTATAGATTGCTTGGTAAGGTGTTTCTTGTTAGGGTTTTTTGTTTTTTCACCCCTTTGGTTTGAGGTTAATAGATAATGAATCCGAAGTATTTTCTGACTGAAAAGGACTATTTATAAAGTAAATATGCAGATTTATGAGATTGACTGTTACAGAACCTCGCTGAAGATATTTGTTATGGGAATATTTTATGTCTTGAAATCATATGAAATTTTTCTAAGATATTTGGACTCCTGATCTTAAATTCATTTGTAGAGTAAGATTCCTTTTTTTTTTTTTTTGAGACAGAGTCTGGCTCTGTTGCCCGGGCTAGAGTGCCGTGGCGCCAGCCTAGCTCACAGCAACCTCAAACTACTGGGCTCAAGCGATCCTCCTGCCTCAGCCCCTCCAAGTAGCTGGGACTACAGACATGTGCCACCATGCCCGGCTAATTTTTTCTATATATAT